AGTGAAGGCTTACTTGTCTGAACTATTTTTTCATCGAATTCTTGTCTTTGACAGTCAACAATACAAATATCTTATTTATGCTCCATTACGTAATTGGTAGTGAATAATTTATCTTGAATACTACTCCAAAATTTGAAATATATACTTTGTCTATCCATCAATTTGAGGATAAAAAACCAAAAGAGCTTTATATCCATTTTTAAAATCTTAAAAAAGATTCTTTAAAATTTTGATACAAATTGAGTCCTTCTATCCAATATAATATCCTTGGGCAATCCATAATAGCAATAGATGTTGTCAATAAAAAACTTAGCCATTTTTTTACTTGAAATAGATTTTGTATATAGTACAAAATATACTATATTTATAAAATGATCTACTATTAAGAATATAGAACTATACAAACATGAAACTCGAAGATTTATAATAAAATCCATAGAAACAAAAGACCATGGTTGTTTTAGAATAAATAATAGCTAAAGAAGTCCATATGATTGATAACAAGGATTTTTTGATCTTAAACAAATATCACATGATTATATAAAGTCTTTGACTACTTTTCACATTTGAGGCTACTAATTAAAAAAAAATATTAGCTTTAAAGTCTTATTATATCCAAAATGTTTGATTGTTGAAAAGTCGTGACAAACTTAAAGAACATATAATTGTGCTTCACCTTTTAGAATGTATAATTGTCCTTTAAAATAGAGTAGATTGTTCTTAAATTCAATCTTAGAAGTATCATGAGACTTAAAAGAATTATTTTTGATATTATAAATAAGAAGGTCAAAGGACATATTCAATTGAACTTACTTAAAAAATATTAAGTCAATAGTCAATATTGATTTTGTTGCTTAAAAATAAAAATGCTTTGACTTAGAGAGAATCATTTTTTTTTTTTAAATTAAAATTTATATTTTTTTCTTTTAATATAAGATAAGAATATCTAAAAAAGACATTTGACAAACCTTATTATTTTTTGAATTGATAAATAATCTTAAAATAAAATCTTGATAAAAATATATTCCAATAGACTTGGTGATAATTCAAAACATGTGCAAGTATGAAATATTTGAGTTTTTTGTGATTTATATATATGGTGACTAGACTAGAAGCACCTTCTAGATAATGATGCCATTCTTGAAAAGAATCCATGATTGCAAAAAACTCTTTGTCATGGATCTTGTAGTTAATTTCAACTATTAAATACAACTTATCATTTCCTTCCATTTGTTATAAAACGACTTTTATAGTAAAGTTTGATATGTTTGTTTCTATGAAGAATGCTTTGAAAAAGTTGATGCAATATAAGATTGATGCAAAAATAAATATTGACTTCAAAGCTTTAAATGATGCTTTTGCTTCTTTGTTCCACTCAGGTTTGTCTTTACATGTCAAGGGTATAAGAAGAGCCACAATTTGAAAAAAGTTCTTGATGAAGATTTGATAATGGTTGACAAATTTCAAAAAACATTGTGCAATTCTAATTATTTTTAGAATCTTCTAATCTATAATAGTTTGGATTGTCTTAGGATCCATTATAAGGCCATTCTTTGAAATGATGTATCTTAAGAAGTCGACTTAAGTAGTATGAAATACATACTTTTTTTTTATCTTGGAATATAATCTTAGATCTCTTAGTTTTTGTAATACACAATAAATATGAAGTTCATACTTTTTAATATTCTTAGAGTAGATTAAGATGCTACTTATATAATAAATGATAAAATTATGAAGAAACTCATAAAAGACATCATTCATTAGATGTTGAAAAGCAGCTAGTATATTCATGAGTCTAAACAATATGGTACTATATTCAAAATGCTTATACTTGGTTTGAAACATAGTTTTCTATTCATCTCTTTCTTTGATACGTACCAAGTTGAATGTTTCTTATAAATCTATTTTTGTATAGATCTTTGCTTAATTGAGTTGATCAAGAAGTCTTGAAATCAAAAGTAGAAGATAGTCATTCTTAATGGTGATTTTCTTAAGTCCTTGATTGTCTATACACATCCTTAGAGATCCATCTATTTTCTTCATAAGTAAGATAGGAGCCCTTGTTAGAAATTTATAATAGCAAATAAAATTCTTAACCAAATTTTTATCAATATACTCCTTGAATGCAACCAACTTGTTCTGTAATAGGCTATAGATTGATCCAAATGGTAGTTAAGCTTCTTCTTGAAGATTGATGGAACAATTATACAAGTAATGCTTTGGAAGAATATTTGTATTTTTTTTTCTCAAAAACATCTTGATAACTTGGTATTGGCTTGGAATGCCATTAGAAGTCTTTTTTCCATTAAGAAAAGGTGTGGCATATATAACAAAAGTTAAACTTTCTTTTACAACATGCATGAAAGATCTAATCACATTAAATATTAATAAACTATTATAACTACTTGAACTAGTAGTAGAATTGAGTGTGTAAGTCTTCACTGAGAATGTCCATTGCTCCAGCAGGGGTCCTAGGAGTGGATGCACCAAATTTGAAGAAGAAGTATCAATTGTCTATGAGTGGATGCACCAAATTGGAAGAAGAAGTATCAATTGTCTGTATTTATGTGGAGTTTAGGAAGAAATCCAGTAGAGAGATCTCTCTACTGAATTGGGATAGAGTAGCATCTTCGTTTAGATCGAAGTTGTGGCATTGCATTTGAACGGGAGCATGGTCGTCTAAAGCCCGGTAGTTCACTACATTCTGTATATGATAGAGCATCTGTTCTCCAATCGGGGGTGCATTCTGTGAGGCGGTCTGATTGCCGCTTGGATCTAATCTGGCGATACCGTTAGACAACTGATTGCAGGTGCATTGTCTTCAAGTCTTGGTGCTTGCTCCGAAGGTATGATGACTGGAATGGCCGTTAGACTGTTGATGTGGGCCTCTATCGTGGGGATTGGTTGCGATGCAATCTCCTCTCGTCCAGCAGGAGCCCTCGAGCTTCGCTTGCTTACCGAGAGCAGTAGCACCGTAGTGGGGCACTCTCCATCTTGGCCAATACACGGCATGTTGACAACGAGAGGATGGGGTAAGTGTATCGATGCGTTCTGCTGCCCCCCAAGCAAACTTTCGATTTGTATTGTGGTTGGACCACGCGATTGAATCTCCTCTCCGTGGGCCTGAGGTTTAGTAGGAGACCATTCCATACTTCTATCAACCTCAATATTGTCTGTACATGCTCCTTTCACGCTGCTATGCACTGGAGCCACCGAAGTAGCGACTTGACTCAAATTGACTAAGGGAGAGGGTGTCGGGAGGGGTTGCTCAATAGATGTTCCGAGGAGGGGACGGGGCGCTTGCTCAACAGGGACCCATTGTTTTCCAGCTGGTCCACCTCTTCTCCTTTGCAGGTTTGAGCGTTGGGTGCCGGGGAGGTTAGGGTCACTAAATTGATCTACCTCTGGTCCCCCACGCGTTGCCTTCTTGTTCTTGTACACCTTCTCCCATCCATTCCTCTTGTATTTCGGAGTTTGTCGCGACTCCCCGTTGGAATAATGGTTGTTGGAGCGCATAGTTCCTTGGCTGGAAGGTCTTGAATCACTATGCTGTCCTCTCGCCGAAGAGCCGAACGACCTCACTAGGATAGTGGGATTTTGCCTCGCCACTGCTGGGGAGGGAGGGAGGGAGATCCACATTCTGATTTCGTTGGTTAGTCAAGGTTGGTCCTTGTGAGCGAGGAGGCTTTGTTGTTATGGTTAGTATATTCTTTGTTACACTACTTTCTTTATCCCCGCTCTCCTTTGAAGACCTTGTAGCATTACACTCCTCAATCAGGTGATCAGTGCTCAAACAAAATCGGCAACAAATAGAGAGATTATAATAGTCTACCATGATGACGGAGTCTTCCCCTGTTGTTTCATTGGTTACCGACAACAAGGTGCGCCATCCACTCCAGCCTCCATTGCTACACTGAATCGCTGCTCCAAACTCACAGCATTCCAATTATCACTTCTCATCAGGACGCCTAACCTGCTTGCAATCTGCGTGGCAACCTTCATGAACTCACCAAGAATGCCGCGCAACGTGACCCAAGTGGGCACTCGCAGTCCTTGTAGCTTATTTGCATTGAACTCTGGGATCCAAGTTTGCAATATATACGTTCTCCATCTCGATCGATGGGGAGTAAGTATGAGAAGTATCTGAGTTACAGTCTGCTGGGTGCTAAGATTCTGAAAAAACCCCCTTCCTAAGTCCCTGCCTAAAACCACTACATCGTCGATTTGCTCTTGGAGAAGTTGATTGCTAGTCCGCTTCGGAGGTTTGAGTAGCTCAGACGAGCTGACGCCTCCGGAGCTTCATTGCGCCCTCCTTTACACTAAAGCCATAGTTAGGTTTCCACATCTTCTTAGATTATCGTATTATTGGACATGTGCGTCAAGGACAGGGTGTAGGAATTAGGGTTTCGAGGAAAGGGAGGGTGTGAGACGAGAGTGCTGAGCATTCCCCGCTTGATGGCGGGGCTGAGAATTTCCAAAGATATCAATGTGGACTACAGTGCATTCACAGAGCCTGTTGAAGATATATGTATTGTTTGGCAGATGGCTACTTGAGTATATTGCTCTTTTCGAAAAGGGGTGGATGTACTGTTTCTAAAACAGAATGGTTATGAAGATGATTAATTGAAAATGTGTAAGGACCTTTTCAACTGGTCAAATGGGTGAAGATAGGAAGTCATCCTTCATTATTGTAGCGAGAATGATGTTATACAGTTATTTCGGGAATTTTCTCTAGTTGATTACTTGCCTACAGATATTATTTTCTTGCTTGAGAACAGTTTCCAAGGGAATGCATAAAAAACTACACTAATATTGTCTCCGGTCGCACACTATGGAGTGTACATGGAAATGTATCTTAAGCGTAAGAGTTTACTTGGAGGTTTACTTCTATAGCAAAGGTCAAGTTCAAAATGAGAGATCTCTCCCACTTCACAGAAGTACTAATTCTTGCCACGCCAACTCCTCAACACAGCTCTTGCTCATCATTCATTAAGTGCGTATTTTAAGTAAGAGCCAAGGTTTCTCACAACCAGCGAATTGTTTATTTATACTAGATGGTGGTTACAGAAGTGATCTCATGTGAACAGTAGAAAGCTAGCAGAATCTTACTCTATAGTGTAGAATGGATATTCCAGTCCTGGCAGACTGTGAGAAGGCCTCACTATCATACAGTCTCCATCAACAGGGGCAATAGTTTAAGCAAGATACTTAAACTCACAAATCCTGCAACGGCTATTTGGCCAGCTGAGACTGGATGAACAAGAAGCTACTAGAATGTGTCGGAAATTTGAAGGGCCGAACATTGAAATCACTTGATGAGTATCAAAGCAAATTTGCCACCATAGATTGTACCTCCCCGGGATACTTTAAACCTTAGCGGGTGTGCCATACTCTTGGGTCCATTTGCCGTATTTATCCTTCATCTTCTGGGCCAATTTGGATGCTTTTGTCTCCTCATTCTTGGCTGCTCGCTTAATAGCCTCGGTTTGAGTTCGCCCAAGAGCAGACTTACTTCGGTTGGTTTTCTCGAGATCTTCATAGTGATCCACAACATCGCAGCAGTTGACGCATATTCCAAGGATGGCAATAACAGTCTGCGTCGGCAAATTCCATCGTCAATAGGATCGTCAAGTTCAGTTGAAAAACATGTGCATGAAATGTTCGAAGCATATGGAGTATCGTCCCTTTGTTTGTACTGTACAAAACATCCTAGCAAGGATATCCCCAATTACGAAATCGACTGAGAGAAGTACGTTAATCACGAATTTTACAGCAGTAATACATGCAAGGACCTAAAGGCAAAAACTCAAAAAACTTACGTTAATGCAAAAGGTAATAGCGAAGAATGCAGCCTCCAGTCTCAAAATCCATCGAGCTCTGTCTTCACTTACGTTCTTGTAGTGCAATAAGCCCAACACTTCGTTCGGTTTGAAGAAAATCGTTAGCGCGGCTGCGAGAAGACCAAGGGTAGAAAATAACAAGAAGACCATTTGCCAGGTGAAACAATCTCGGCGGTCGCTAGAGAATACTCCGAGCAATCCAGAGGCAACTGTGAAGCCTCCCACAATGATGAAAAGCCATCCAACTCTACTGGGCGAATGGTCCATCACAAACACAATGACGATCATGGAAACCCCTCCTACAGCAGCCACGAGGCTCAGAATGGAGAGGATTCCTGCTGACAGGAATGCCAGGTTTCCTTTCAACGTCCGCCCTGTCATTTCGGCTGATCGATCCGTCCTGTTGGCTTGAAGAGGAAATCGGTTAAACACCACACATAGAAAGAACACATTCCAGAATCGCAAAAGGGACTATCTCAAAACAACGAAGGCTATACTGGTACAAGACATTCAATCGGCGACAAGAATCTCAGCGACAAGTAATCCGTCAAAGCAACGTAGCCGACTTACTCCGAAGGAATACTTCCAGACACAATCCCATGGCGCGAACAAACCCGAAAACAAATCGTTACAAATACCATTGCTGAGGACGGGTAAAGCCAACTCCTCTCCCACGCGAAACATCCTCAAAATAAGGAACTGATCACTTCATCTGATATAAACTGCAAGGACAGCCGGCTTTGAAACAAAAATTCACAGCAGCTATTCCTCAGAGATGCCCTGCAATCCAAATTTAGACTAAAGCCATGACACAGAGCTCTCGAAACTCTCGACCAAATGCGATCGCCACCAAGATCCAAACTTGATACAGTGACCTCACTATCACGAAGCTCTCTTTCAACAACCACCGTGCCATACTCGACCTCAAGAAGACCACCAATTCAAGCACGAGAACCGTCATCGACCTGTAACCACCAAGAAACCTCCCTTCTCACGAAAACAACAGCATCTCACAAACAAAAAAAAAAAAAACAGCACCACTGCATCCTTACACAATGAAGCTGGGCAAGCCGTGTAGCGACAGAATTGGAATGAAGGAAACCGAATCAAGAGCTCATCATACCTTCGCAAGAGAAGCAGGGCTGTAGAGGTCAAAGCGCGGAGTGTCGCAGCTGCAGGGGTGAGCTCCGTCGACATGTGCGTTTGGATTTGAAGGCCGCATGGTGAGAGCGAGAAAGCTAACGGACACTAACGTTACCGCGCGGTGGGAAAAGGGTAACGGTTTTTGGATGAAACGTCGAGATTTCATCCGTCTCATTTGAATTTGGCGGCTGTCTCTCATCCACAGATGAAGTGTGGAGGATGGGCAGAGACCCGTTCCGGGAGAGGACGGGTCGGGCCGGTTTTGCTACGCGGTCGCCATCAGTTGAGCTTGGAACCTTCCAACCCGTGATTAAGTTTGCTTACATGGACATTTCATTTAACTTAGTGGCCATGGCTGTCTAAATGAACTCGACGTTTGGGAATAATTCTATACTAGGAATGTTGATTGGTTTTTTTCCTAGTGGAAGAAGAAAATGATAGCAAGATCTTCTTCAAATGTGCACCAGAATTTAATTTGTTATAAAATCCTAAATAACAGGATTATTCCTGATTGTGCATGTATTTGATTTGAAATAATGGGGAAAAATCCGCATTACATTTGGTATACTATATGTACATATTTAAAAATCATAATTTATTATTTTACATCAAATATATTTAAGTGTATTATAAGTATTTGAATTTGAAAAATAATTGATTATAAGTTTAACAAATTTATGTGTTTGATGATTTTTATTTATTTACTTATTCATTGTTTTCAAATAGGCAATCAATGTATATATATATATATATATATATTTTTAAATTTATCATGCAATCTTGTAGAACATCATCATCAATTGAGATTAAATTTTCTTCAATTATATATATATATATATATATATATATATAGTTAATTACTTAGTTATATATTTTAATTTAAAGCAATGGTAGTATTATGAAAATGTTGTTTGATAATTTTAACAAAAATTACAAAAAAGTGGTTTAAACATATAAAATATGGCTTTAATGATTAAAATATTTAAAAATAATAAAATATATAAAATATCAGCTACTTATAATGATACATCTGAACAAAGGAATATATGGTTTTTTTAAAATATAAATACAAAATATTAGATGATAATTACTATTATTCAAAAGCTAATATATCAAATTTTTATATTCATGTGAAATAATTATGAAATATTTTTTTGAGCTATCAAAACTTTAACACAAAAGGTTTAGGTAAAAGCTTCACTTAATCTTTTTAAGAAATTTATGTTAGAATTCTAAAAATATACCATTGCTATTTATTTATTTTATTAGAAGTTATATTACTTTTAAGAATTATGTTATGGATATACAGATTTATTTTAATAATTACCTATATGATTAAGTAGAAGTAGATAAAAATAAATTTATTTCATAATATCTTTTAAAAAAGCTTCTTAGAAGCTTCATAGATGTTGCTTTGACTTTATACATGTTTGTAGTAAATTGGTAGATTAGAAATTTGGTCAACAAATTAGCGATGTATTATATATGTTAATAGCTTGTAGAATAAGCTAACTATATGGCATATATATAGAAAATTTGTCTTGTAAGTTAAGATATGTGTCTTGCAAAGTCAACATGTGTTAGAGGTCATATAGAACATCGCCACATAGCTCCTAATTAGATAGTATATATAGAGGCAAGAGTGAAGCCTTCTTCATTTTTGTCAATGTCTTTTTAATCCTTAGTCTTGTTTTAAGACTTTCTTATCTCTTTTTCTTTGCCAATAGCCATTCTAGTTTAATATATTACCATTTTTGAGTGATTTCTTATTCTTTTTGAGTGACATAAGAGTATATGGACCTTTTCATTCTTTGAAGTTCATATCCTTGATAATTTGATAAGAGTACCAACTTATTGTTCTTGTCTTGTTTTACAAGTGAGTGAATTATTCCACTTTTATTGTTGTGTTTTGAAGGTTGTTAACTATCCACCTTTAAACAAATAGTTTAGTTTTTTAATACTAATTTTTTCCTTAATGAGAGTAAATTATCCCTATTTGTGGAATTTTTTATTTAATATTGAGGTTACAAATTATTTTCATCTAATTTAACTTTTTAAATTTCTTTGAATTATCTATAGAAGAAAAGATTGTGGATGCTACTTTTAATACAAGTGAAAATAAATATGCAACTATAGTAGATCTTCACAAACTTGTCAATACTTTAAGAATAGAAATCTCACATATTTTCAATATGAATCATGGAAGCACTATTTCTATGCCTATGAAAAAAGTCAATAATGAAATTCAAAATCTATGCTAAGAAGTTGTGCAATTAAAAGAAACAAGAAAATCAAGTTTACATCTAAATTTGAGGAGTCTTGCTACTATAAGTATAAGGGAGGTAAGGATAAGTATGCCAGAGAAGTTTAATGGAACAAGATGAAAGTTTCAATGATTTCTGCAATAAGTAAAGGTTTATCTAAGATTGTATCTTTTTCAAAAGTCTAATGGATTTACTTAAGTTTGATTCATTGGAGTACCTCTCTCTAGGAGTGTTCTTTTTTAGTTTGCACCTTTGATGGAAAAAGATTCATGACTATTCTTTGATTTGAATTCATTCTTAGAAGTATTTACTGCTACATTTAGAGAAAAAGATTAAGAAAGGATAGCAAAAACCAAGTTCATATTGCTATGACAAAGTTCACATTCAACCACCATATATGTTGTTGATTTCAAAATTTGGCTTGCAATATGGATTGAAATGAAAAAGCCCTTATCATTTAATTTTGATATAGGTTAAAAGATAATATCAATGATTTATTGTTGATAATATTGAAAGCAAATTTATTAGAGCAATTTATTCCTTAAGTGATTACATGTAACAATCAATTCTTTAAAAGATGCCAAGAACAAAGATTTGATTAGAGAAGTACAAATCAAGCTATAGTAATACCTTCTAAGTTTTTGGAAGCTTACTTGTCCAAGCCAAAGCCTATACAAATTGATATGGTATGTTTTAAATCTCTTATTGAGCAAGAAAAGACTTATCATCATTAAGAAGGTTTGTACCTATATTGTTTAGAATCCAAGTATACTACTCAACAGTGCTCAAAGAAACAATGCAATCACACAATGAAGAGCATGGTTGCCAAAGAAGACGAGGTGTCAAAAAATAAGTTTTTTTACCTATAATAGGAATTGTGTGGTTAGAATCTTGTGTAACACCTAATAAAGGTCTTATTTTTTTTTTGAAAACCTTCATCTTAATTTAGAATAGAATTTTATTTAAGACCAAAAATTACAAATTTTTAGCCTTATTAGATTAAGGCACCTCAATCTATTTTATAGACAAAGACTTTGATAAAAATAAGATATATCTTTACTTAAGAAAACTAGATATATGCATGTAGAAGTAATAGATGGTTGTTCATTGTGTTTTAGAGATGTTATATATGAAATTGTTCTTTTAGATGTAACAACTAGTGGTCATAATAATTTAATAATATTTAATATGATTAGATCTTTTTTTAATCCAATTATTTTAGAATTAATATAGCTAAAAAATATAATCCTTAAATAGACTAGATTTCTAATAACCTTGATTTCTCTTTTAGTTTAGCTCAAGATTCTACTAAGCAACTAAAAAACCATATGACTAATACATCCAAATCATTATTGTTAGGTGCAAGAGCTTTCATATATATTGCAAAAAAAAATTAACTTTTGCTAGATATGCCAAACCTATTGTTAATAGAAAAAAGATCTTAAGTAGTATTTTAAGCTAGTACTAAGATTAATAAGATATTTTTGAGAAGAAAAATTTAGATATTCTTCCATAGCATTATCTCTATGATTGTTCTATTGATCTTTAAGAAGGAGCTTACTACTATTGGGACCAATCTATAGCCTATCATTAAACAAGTTGGTTGCACTTAAGTAATTCATTGACAAGAATTTAGTTAAGAACTTCATATGCCATTTTATATCTCCAATTGGATCTCTTATCTTTTTTGTGAAGAAAAAAATGGATCTTTGTAGATATGTGTAGATTATTGAAGATTCAACAAGATTATGATTAGAAATAGGTATCTTCTAATTTAATTTTAAGAATTTTTGATCAACCAATTAAACAAAGATTTATATAAAAATAGATCTATAAGGAGTACATAATTTGATATGCATTAAAAAAAAGAAATGAATAGAAAATTACGTTTTGAATCAGATATGGATATTTTTTTAATAGTTTTTTAAATTTTTTTAATAATTTTTTATATCTTCTCAATAGTTTTTCATTCTAAGAAATTTTTAGCAACTAAGACTAATTATGAGGTCCATGGTAAAGAGCTTCTTGTAATCCTAGATTCTTTTAAAGAATGGCATCATTATCTAAAAGATGCCTTGAAACTAATCTCCATGTATACAAATCATAAGAATGTCAAATATTTTATGTTGATACATATTTTGAATTATCACCAAGTCTATTGGAACATTTTTTTATCAAGATTTTATTTTAAGATCACTTATCAACTCAAAAAACAACAAGGTTTGTCAAATATATTTTTTTAGATATTTTCATCTTATACAAAAAGAAAGAGATGCATCTTTTGATTAGCAAAGAAAAATTCTCTTGAAGTTGGAGCATTTTTACCTTTGAGCAATATAATCAATATTGACTATTGATTCAACCTTTGTCAAGTAAATTTAGTTGACTATTTTCTTTGATTTTCTTATTCATAATATTAAGAATAATTCTTTTCAGTCTCATGATTCTTTTAAATTTAAATTTAAGAATAATATACTCTATTTTGAGAGACAATTATATATTTCAAAAGACAAAGCATAATTACATATTCTTTAAGCTTATCAAGATTTTTTAGTAGTCAAATATTTTAGATATAATAAGATTTTGGAACTAATATTAAAAGATTTTTAGTGGCTTTAAATATAAAAGGTAGTTTAAGACTTTGTACAATTATGTCATGTTTGTTTGAGATAAAAAAAACTCCTTATCATTGACCTTATAGACTTTTTTAGCCATTATCAATTCCATAACAACTATAGTCTTTTATTTCTACAAATTTTATCATAGAACTGCTAGTCTTAGATTTATATGATTCTATATTTGTGATACT